TGCCAGCCAGCCCCGCCCCCTGGTGAGCTGAGCTGGCCACACACACATACACACACACACACACACACACACACACACACACACATAAATAAATAAAAAAATTAAAAAAAAAAGATTCCTAGGGCTGGTGGTATAGCTCAGTGGGCTAAGCGCTTGCTTAGGTAAGCGCAGGGACCAGGGTTTGATCCCCAGCAGGCCGTGCCAGTCCTGCCCCCGGGGCGCACTGAGATGGCAACTGAGACTGAGTGTGGTGGCACACGCCTATAACAATCCCAGTTCTTGGGAAGCTGTAAACAGGCGGATCACTATGAGTCCGATCTAGTAGTGAGATCCTGAACACCCTGTAGACCCTTCCCTAAAATACAAAAAAAATTTGTGTTGCACTACAGAAGGAAAAAAAAAACTGAGGGAATTCATGGATAATTTTCACTGCTTCATTGAAAGTCCCAGATCAAAAGGACTGTTTTCTCTAAACTGGACGTAGGATGTGCACATGACAGTTGCCTTGGTTACTCTTCCAACTACTTCCACAATTCCAGATAGTTGTTCATCAAGCAGCTCTCTCAATTCAGTGGTTCCATTTTTTCCTTCTCCATCTGAAAGGATAAACATTTTTCCAGGGGGATGAATCTTTTCCAGCCTCCCTATGAAACAGACTGGCCGGTCAATGAACTGAGCTATCATGCTGGCATTGATGCTCGACTTGGGCAAATCCACCATGTCCACCATGACTAAACCTCTGACTCTCACGTGGTTTTTAAAGGACCCTCTGAAACTTAGTGTGCTCATTGAATATTGCTGTGGCCTGAAATCCTACCCCCAAATTGAGGTGGAAGAGGTGTTAAATATAAACAAAGGGATGAGGTATTCACCTCCCCCTCTTCATTTAATCTCTGTGAAATGTAAAATACACAGAAAAGTATACAGAACAAATGTGTGGCTCGTTGGACTAATGTAGAGCCAATGCCAGGCCCTGCCTGGCACAACGCAGGACATGGCCAGCATCCCAGAGGCCAGGCCTCCTTAGGGTCCTTACATCCCCCGGGGACTGAGACTGACTTCTGTGGAAAGGGCCACCCTGCTGTGGTCTGGTTGTATAGCCTCAGCTCACACCTGCAGCTCTGGAGTTTAAGTTTTGGCTGCTGGTGGATGTGATGTATGCCACGCCTCAGCCCCTGCCATCTGTCAATCTCTGCCCTCCTTGCACAGCCATGGTAGCACTGCCCGGCCACCACCCTCCATTCTCCGGCCCCTGCCCCTGTCCTCAGGCTGCCCTGGCCAAGCCCCTGCCCCAGACCCACTGCCACAGAGCCAGAAGGGGCTGGAACCTGGAGACCACTCTCCCCAGGTAGTGTCTCCCGGAAGTCCTGCATACTGCACACTGTGCCCTGCTCTGCCACCTCCTTCTCCACTTTATCTCCAGGCCCACCCTCCCTGTCCCCTCTGCTGCCCTGCATCCAGGACACCCAGAGCAGACCCCAGCTTTCCCGTGTTCCTTGCTTCTGCTGCCATCTTGCCCCTCAGGAAGTAACAAAACTCTGGGAGGCATCCTCAGCCCCTGACTATTTCCCCCCTTTAGGCTATACCCAGTCAGCTGCCTTCTCACCCACTCCAGATCGCCCTTCCCAGTCTGATGACTTCTGTTCAGTGCGAGTCATAGGCTTTGCGGTGGCCGGCAAAGCCCATGCGATCAGCCGTCCCACCTCTCCACCTGGATCCTGTTACGCCCTCCCCGATGGCCTTGCCTGTCTGTGAACACAGAAGCACCTGCTCACCTGGGCCCTTTGCCTGCCCCTCACTGTCCATGAGGGCTGTGCGCCCCCCGCAAAGCTCCCCACCAGAACTTCCCCCACTTACCTTGCTGTTTCTCTTCATTCTCAGCAGAAAGTAGTTCTTTTAAATCATGTTTTTCCCCAGTCCCCAAGGACATATCTGGCACTTAGTAAGGACTTGATCAGTAATTACTAGATGAATTAATGAGCAGGAAAGCAAGATAAAGTAGCAGGAGGTGGCAGGCAGCACTGGGGAGTCCTGTCCTGCAAGAGAGCATAGCAAAATGCGGCCCTCATGAGACCTGGCCAGGCCAGGGTGTGGAGGGCAGGAGCCCAGGTCACATGCATGTGTGGAACACCTGACAGCCTCTGAGGAGGACCCCTCAGGGCAGACTTGTAACAGGTGCTCGGGTGCTTACCAGGGGTATCTTTGTTTTTTTTCACTTCTGTATAATGGTGACCTGTTCCTCTAACTGCTGGTGGGTCGGTCTTCTCAGACCATAAAGCAGATGCAGCAGAGGATGCTGGAGCTCAGGAAGACGCTGCAGAGGGAGCTGGTGAGTGCCTGCTCTTTGTCCTGCCCTAACCTTCACCGCCCTGCCTCTAGGCTCTCCCATTCTCCCTCCCTCTCCACCCTCAAGGCTACTTGGTGGGCTTAAGACCTTGGCCAAGCGCCCTCCACCCTCCTGCCCTGCACCAGTGTCCTCACTTAGAACAAGGGCTTGCTCTGGAGGTCGTATAGTGGTTGTTGACATTGTGTATGAGGCAGTGATTGGCCTGCACAGGACAAGAACAGCACCCTGTTCCAGGCTGGGGTGCTCACTTTTCAGGGGTTCGGTGACCTTCATATGGATACAGAAATGTGCCCTTCCTCCCTCCCCTCAGCTGTCATCACCTGCACTGTCTGAGCTCTCCCTCCTTTTGCCCTTTGAGGTGGAGAGAGGTGGAAGAGCGGCCCACAGTAGTGGGCGCCTCCCCTAGGGATGTTACTGTTCTTGAGGAGTCTATGAGTTTTGGGAGTCAGAGTCTCCTTCCCAGCCATGTAGTGGCCCACTGGCTACCTACAAAAGACCTCTCTGTTGGTTTTTCAGAAAATCAAACCTGACAATGAGCTCTTTGAAGTCCGAGAGAAGCCAGGCCCTGAAATGCCAAACATGGCTCCTTCTGTCACAAATAATGCTGAACTGACAGATGCTCGAGAGATCAACTTTGAGTACCTGAAGCATGTTGTTTTAAAATTCATGTCCTGTCGAGAATCTGAGGTAAAGAGCTCCCAGCTACCACTTGGGTTTTGGGTCCAGTCCTATGGAGTCAGCCCTGCTCAGCTCCTGCTGTCCCACTCCTTCCTCCCCTGGCTGTCTCCTCCCTCAGTGGCCTGCAGACTCCCAGGGAAGATGCAGGCTCAGCTTCTCCATCCCAGCCAAGGTGCTGAGCCGAGTCCCGGGAACCAGTCTGCTGTGCCAGCCTGCCAAGCGAAAGGTGGGCGGGGCACGATGAGAATGTGTTGTTGCTGTCAGACCGCAGGAGCCCTGCGCTGCACCCACTACCTGGTCCTTATTAAGCAGACCACAGGAAATGCTGCCATGTAGTGTGTGGACTTCCTGCCCCACCCCCACCAAGGCCCATGGCAGCAAAGTTTACTCTGTTTCAGGCTTTTCATCTGATCAAAGCTGTGTCAGTGTTGCTGAACTTTTCTCAAGAGGAAGAGAATATGCTCAAAGAAACCCTGGAATATAAGGTAGGCTTCTTAGTAACTGGAACCAGCCACCCAGGAAGGGCACCAGCTGCAGCTGTTTCCTCCCTTCATTGCTTTGGGGTGAGGCGATGACTTATCAGGCAGTGCTGAGGACGTCCTTTATGCCCCAATGTCTGTCTGTATCTGACTTTCAGACTTTGAATTTTTCAGACTTTCACTGATAGCACTTCATCACCACTCCAGGTCTGGCCTAACACCTAGACTCCCAAAAAAGGACTGGGAGGCAGGTGTGGTGGTACAGCCCTGTAACCCAGCACTCAGCAGGCTGAGGCAGGCAGATCGCCACCAGTTGGAGGCCATTCTGGGCTATGTAGTGATTCAAGGCTGGCCTGAACTACATAGTGAAACCTTGTCTCAAGACAAAATGCTGCAAGTATAACTCAGTAGCAGAACACTTGCCTACCATATGCAAGGCTACAGGTTCAAGTCTCAGACCACAAAACAATAAAACTTCGAAAGCACTTACATAAATGCTGTAATGGAGAAAACCTAAAATCCCACCACCTCATTCCTGTCAATCCACTTTCTTTCGCTTCCTTCCCGTACGTAAAATAGGCTTCTCACCCAGCAGGAACCATCTCTGCTCGAAGCCAGTCTGAATGCCTGGAGAGCAGAGCCCAGCCCAGGAGGGGAGCGGCTGTGTCTGCCACCTCTGCACCTATTGTACTTCTCAAGAGCCTTTTTTATTTTCCTCATGCAGATGTCTTGGTTTGGCTCCAAACCAGCTCCCAAAGGCAGCATCCGGCCATCTATCTCAAACCCTCGGATACCGTGGTCCTAGAGGAACCAGCCAGGGATGAGCTCCATGCTTTGACACCTTTTTCTGTGAAAAGAACACTGACACACCAGTCTGGGTGGGTTTTTAATCACTGTAACTGCAGTATTTTGTACACATGTCTAAACATTGTTTACAAGACTTAAGGCCCATTTCCCTGCAGCCTGACATGAGCCTCAGGAGGCAGATAATCCCATGCCATTCTGGTCACCAGGTGGGAGGGTCCCAGTAGTCCTGGCCAGCTCACGTCTGCATCCGAGTCCTCTAACTCTCGACAGTCGCACTTAAAGCATCAGCTTGTCAGGAGGCAGCTGACTCACCCATAGAGGACACTGGAGGTAGACAGCCCTGGGGAGTGTGCCCTGCAGGCCAGCCCTACCTGTTCCTCGAGAAGCCACCTCGGGTGACCTTCCACAGTCGTCCTCCACAGTGGCTTGGGTTCCGAAGAGTGAGGAGAGGCTTTTAACCCTTCCTCTCCAAAACACATTTCAGTTTCCCAAACCACCTAGAACCTGAGATGGGTACATCTTTAAGATACTCTGGGCCAGGGTGGATGAATGAATATGCAACTTTTTGATGGTATTTCCATTTTGCTTAAAACTAGTTAACAGATAAAAGATCCTAAGTATAGTACCAAATACACTCAATTGCCTTTTTAATGAATGTACTTGTCTTGGATAGGTTGCTGGTAAACCATTTTAAACTATTTTTTATAGCTAAAGTTCTTCGCTATTATAAACTTACATTATAAAATCCATTTAATTGGTATACTTAAAGGAAAACCAGAGCATCAAGAGGAAACTATTTATAAAACTGGGATTTCTGTCCCTTTGTAATTTTGCCAGCCTTCTGTGGAGCCTGCTCTCAGAAGCAGTGGTGGTATTTCGTGTGCTTGGCTCTCAATTCTGTCCCTCTACCCCTGACCAAGTGTTAGTCACACCTTTTCACTAAAGGACAATCTGCTGGACTCAGTAGAAGCACAGCTGCCCCCTTCTTGTCCCAGCCTTGACCAAAACAGCAGTCTGTCTTGTATGCAGAGCCGCCCTGCGTCCCACCCTCCCCCCTCTACTTCAGGCGAAGCTCACACCTGGCATCCACACATTGAAAGCTGACTGCACTACTTGACAGCCCACACAGCCCTCTGGCCGCAGCCGACGTGCACTTGTGTTTGTTGTCACACATGTGGAGAAGCTGCAGCATCAAACCTAAAGGGCAACGGTTTTATAGTTTGAGGAAAGTGTGACTGGGAAATAAACTGAATTAACTCCTAAATTTTTAACTATATACACTTGTTTCTCAGTAAAGTTTAACATCAAAAATACATATGTACACAAATACACAAAAAAAATCCCATGGAACAGTACTTGCAGTTTACCCACTGAAGTTCCAGGTGGTATCAAGCCAGGGCACTGTCGCCTTGGCCCAGCCCAGGCTCCGTCATTCTCCAGTCACCTAAGGTGGCTCTCCTTGCAGTCTGTGCCCTTCAGACTGCACCTTCCCATTTAGATGGGACCGTGACACAAGAGTCCCTTCTGTTCTCTGAGGGGTGAGAGGTACGTTTCAGCAGCGCAGGAGGCCTAACCTGTGCGGCCCAGCCTCTCCCTGTGGCTCCCCCAGCCCCGCTAGAACAGCCACAGGGGTGGCTGGGCAGACTCCCTCTGACTAGGCTTTCTTCCTGCATGTGGAATTTCCTTCAGCTCTAGGGGAGAGGGGAGTAAACCCTCCCAGTGATGCAGTGCACTTTTACTTGTATGACACGACACACACGCCTTCTGAGCAGGGGGATCCGGGTCTCCTCCCAGTGCGTGCATAGGGGCTGTGTGACCTGAACTGGCTGGAGGAGGTGCATTTGTGCTGCAATACACTTTCTGATTAAACCTTTTAATCCAGATGCAGCTGCAGTGGGTTTCGCTTGATAATTGTTTGGTATGTACTTCCTTGACTCTTAAATCGAATACATTGTATCTTGTACTTAAAAAGGGCTACACCCTTGTCTTTCAAAAGGATCCTCCCCAAACTGGGTTTGGGTAAATAAATACGTGTAATTTAATGAATCCAACAGCTTAGTCCTGCCTCCCGAGCATCACAGTGTTTCTGCAGTGAGCTGGGGAACTGGAAGTCTGCGGACCTCCACAGCCTGCAAGACCCCGGAGGGCTTCAGGAGGGCAAATGAGATCCTTGCCTTTGCTATGTGTTTCTGGAGTTCGTCAAAGAAACTTATGAGGACACAGCTAAGAGAATTCCTCCAGAGAGCAGACCCAGCCTCAGGAGACAGAGACTCTAGCTCGCGCTAAAACTGTACGGGTAATCACACAAACTGAAGACTGTTAAAGCCTCAATCAATTATTAAATGTTTGGCACTTTATTAAATTAAATAAGCTCCAAAGTTACATACAAATCAAAGGAGTAAGAAACAATAAATAGTATTCAGCAAAACACTTCTCCATGGCAGCTGGCAGCAGGGTGACCGAGGCCCATGGGACTGCTGTGGCATGAGGCCCAGAGACTGCCATGCTCACTCTGTGCAGGGACACGTCCACCCCCACATCACGCTTCCAGAACAGCCGAACCCTTCACTCGTTACCATCCCATCGTTACCACTTTTTACATACAGGAAACACACCGCAATGGATAGACTAATAAGCCAAGAGCTTTATTGATGCAGCAGGCACTTTACAACAAACCCAAGAGTCTGCCTTCTCTGGGAAGACAAGTATCTGTACAAACTCTCAGGTTTTCCCACGTCTGAAAACAAGTTCTCCCTTTCACCACAGCCCTTGGATCTGCACCTGCCCAAATCATGCCGCCCCCTTTCCAACAGGTAGTACACATGGTGACACCTGACCGACACCAGCCAGCCGCTCTGCAGATGACCAAGGGTCAGTTCTACAAAACTCTAGGCAGCGGCACTCAGATCCTGCAAAGGATTTAGGAAACAGTGATTCTCCCTCCACCTCGAAAATGAAATGCATTTCAGCAGATATGTGTCCTGAAATTTGCAGTTGGGAGTTCCTAGGGTGATGGTCCATTGTGTCCAATCCCTTCTTCACCAGCCTGGGCATCAAATTCTTCAGGGTAACATGAGTCCTTTCTTTGTTTTGTTTTTTTTTTGTTTTTGTTTTAAACAGTCTTTCTTGCTGTAAGAACTCTTATAATGGAGCCTAGTCCTCCTACAGCTAAGGCCTGTGGGGGCAGGAAAAGGAAACAAGTCAGAACTAAGACCTGGCTGGAGGAAGCCTGGCTGGCCAGGGAGAACAACATGAGCATGTCCTGGACCCAAATCCTTTCATGCCCCGGCCCTTCTGATAAAGGAGTCCTATAGCCAAACCAAGGAGTGAGGAAGGAGTCCCTTGTCCTGCAGCCAAGGACAGCAGGACTGACCTGGAACACTGACAAGCTCACAGACAGCCCAAGTTTCACTGCTTCCAAACTGTTGGCAGAGCCCTGAATAAAGAAATGTACACCAGCCCATGACAGCTGCCTGCCAACAGGGCTAACGCTACATCACCTCGAGGAGATGACAAGGCCTGGCCTCCAAGCCACAGCCACTGCCACCTGCACCTGTTGAGCTCAGGGAGGTGGGAGGCACAGCCATAGCCCAGCCCTCGGCTACCTCAGGACCCACGAGTAAGAGAAGCACTCTCAAGACAATGCAGAGCTTGCTGGGAAGGACAGTGTCAGCCACAGCCTGGTCCCCACTCATGGTGGGTATGCCTGCTGTGGTGCTGGGGAAAGGAGCAGTACAGTGGCGCATAGGCAGGATATGGATATAGATGTGACTGGACCCCCGGAACCCCGCAGAGGACACAACTCACAGCGTTTTCTGCTTCAGGTGAATGAAAAACACATTAAATGACCAAGCTTTCTGCCCACTGCACTGGCTAGAGACTGAGGCAAGATCAAGAAGGAAGCCCTAAGCTGGTGGGGCGGCTCACTCCTGCATTCCAAAGAGCACCCCACATCTGTCTCTAGCAGCTCTTCACACTAGGGCAGAAGTCATCCGCCAGCAGGCCTTGCTCTAACCCCACATCTGCCCCGTCTGCTACCAAGGGCACCCTGTTCGCCTGGCATACCTCTGCAGCTAGAAAAGGAGAGCAACCATGACTACCATAGACAGCAGGTGAAGGGTTAAGCTGTCAGACTGACCTTCCCTATTCTGGAAAATGTGGCCTGCTGGTGTGAGCCCTGGGTGAAGTGTGAGGTGTTCACGTACCTTTTCGTGCCACTGGAGTAACACTGCGCTGCTGTTTTCTGTGGGCTTCTCAAACCCTTTATAAATGTACTTCATTAACAAGTCAACGCCGTTTCTGTCCAGGGACTGCACAGCCTGCTCAATCTCACTGCTCTTAAAGTTTGTGAGCACCTTCAGCACCACGCCCTGGGCTCGCTCCTACAGAGGGAAGGAGGTGAGATCAGCTGCTACAGCCGGCATGGCCCAGGCCCCCAGCGTGGAGAGAGCATCACATGGGGCGAAGTGTGCCAGCAACACTGCCTGAACCCTAATTCATCTAAGACGGTTAAAAAAAAGTGGGTCCAATAAAATTCCCTTCTTGCTTCCAATTTCTGCATATATTTTTGTTCTATGAGGCAGTCTCACTACGTAGCTGAGGCTGACGAACTCAGCAATCCTCCTGCCTCAGCCTTATGATTACTGGGTATGTCAGTGTGCCACTATGCCCAGCAAAACTTCAGTGTTATTCCACTTATTTTGGAGAGAATAAATGGATTACTGAGGACTGGCCTCAAACTCATGATCCTCCTGCCTCAGCCTTCCAAGTGAGCCACCATCTCTAGCTTAGCTTCTCTATTTTTCATGACACCAGCCTGGCCTTAAACGCCACAGGATCACACCTATGGTGTCATTTATTTTTCTATCTTTTTTTGGTATTTAGTACAGGGTCTACAGGGTCTCACTACACAGATCAGACTCCTAGTGATCCTCCTGTTTTCAGCTTCCCAAGTGCTGGGATTACAGGCATATGCTTAACCTTACCCAGTCTCAGTCACCTTCTCAGCACTCCCCAGGGGCAAGGCCAGCACAGCATGCTGGGATCAAACCCCAGTCCCTGCACCTGCCTAAGCAGGCACTTTAGTCTGCTGAGCTATGTGTCCAGCCCTTATAGTGGGTCATTTTTTTAAAAAAAAGAAAGATCCCCCCAGGTTTGAGTACAGGTCTCCTGCTGGTGCCCAGTAACAGCGGGGTTGCTCCTCTCTACCTCTGCCAAGGTACAACTGCTGCAGCTAGACCTCCACTGCAGAAGCCCCTCTCCCAGGAGCAAGTTTCAGCCTCGATGAGGCA